AATTTTTTCATTTTCAATAACGTTCTCTTGTTACTTTCTTCGCTATCGGAAGTTGCGCGTGGGTAAACGCTTTACTGGCTTTAAGCGCATGCGTAAGTTTGTGGCTTTGAGGTCCGGATTATAGGATCATTCCGGATAATGGACTTTGTACTGTAATATATTTTAATATTATTTATACTATATCTTAATTTTTGGGCCCCCCCCAAGAAAGTGGGGGCCCTCAGCTATAGCTCGTGTAGCTTATACATAAATCCGACCCTGACAGTATGCAGTAAGATTTTAAGCTAAAAAAATTTAATTAGGAAACACTTTCTACAGAACAGCAAGCAGATTGCTTTCAAAGTTATGAAATCTGACATAAAAAAGTGTAATTAATATACAATATGTTCAACAAAACAGTAAACTACCTGCAGAAAGTCTGCACTCATAGCATTCTAAACAGAGCTTCAAGTAAAATCAGGAAGGCAAAACAAACTAATAGAAATTGATGAAAGCTTTTTTACAAAGCAGGTTGAACACTGATTTTTTGTTAAATAAAGATGCGTCAGGTTTTCAGAGTTCCACAGGAACAACTAACAGAAATTTGGTAGCATCTCCCTAACTTTCACAGTCGATGAGATAATATGTAAGTACTGGAGAATGTTTTAGTGAAGAAATTGAATAGCCACACAATATAATAACTACTACTGAAATATAAATGAATTTTTCTATAAAAAATAAACCTTTATTTATTCCCCCTTTTTTTAAGCCTCAGGTTCTTAAAATACCATTTGAACTTTACCTACAACCAAGAACTAGCAAGTCTGCTCTAGGAACAGGATTTAAAAATTTAAAAACCTTGCTCCACAGAACATCCCAGCTGGTTTTTTTTTTTTTTTTTTCTTGAAATAAAATACCAAGTATTTTCCTGTGATAAGAGATAACATATCATCATCACAGTCATTAAAATAACTCTGATTTTTTTTTTCTATTATGTCATTCACATTTAATGATTTGAGCTCAACTTAATTGCAAAACAAATATTAGATACTTATGCTTCATAAAACAGAACTCTTAGTATCTAAGCCTGAATTTAAACCAAAGTTTTCCTAAAACACCTACACTAATGATTTTAAAAATACTGATAATTCTTATATTGATTTAAGAATGTATAAAATGGAAAATTTATTGGAATACTGAATGCATAATTCACTTCAATACATAATTTATCTTCTTTTAATATGTTACATTATTCCAAAAATTCATATATACAGTTTCATTTTTTAAAAGTATGTACTATACTTAAGAAAGATCTCTCAAATGATGTTGAATTTTAATGATGGCTGTTACATTTTTCAGTCAGTTGTACACTTCTATCAGAAGCAAAAATGTTTTATTCACTACATTCCACCCTTTTGTAGTTCTTTGAATACTGTATATATATTAATAAAACAATTTGAAGGACCAAAGTCCATAGCTATCCTATAACAGTTAATATGCATGTATGATACAAGCTCTTGATCATCCAAGGTGACCTTGGTGTATATTACTTTAATCAGTCTATCATATAAAAAAAAACTGAAATTTATTAATTCTTGAAACTATTCTTAGCATAAAGAATATCAAAATTTTCTCAGTATCTTGCACAGAAGATCACCCACCCTGTGAAATTCCTAAACAAATATGAAGTTAACTGAATAATATTACTACAAACTGAACATAAATTTCAGAAGTTTTTCCCCACCAAAATATACTGAGGAATGGGTACTTGCCATTTTATTTACCATGTTCACATTCTAGGCGCCTAAATAAATGTAATGAATTAATAGAAAAATCAAATTAAAATTCAGTTCAAATTTACATGGACTAGATTATTGAACTATTTGAAATTCAATTCTGTTGTAAAATATATTAACATTTAATTCTTATATTCTTTGGCTAATTCCATTTTTTAAATCTTTATATAAAAATTTAGAAATGACTACAGATTAAGACAACTCTGACCAAATGAAATTTAATAACATCAATAAAATGTAACAAGAAAAAGTACAATTCAAATGAAATAGAATTTAAAAATTTCTGAAAATCATTAGAGATTGAGGGAATGGAATTTGCCTAATTTAAGTTTAATTAAATACATTCCATTTATTTCTGAGAAACATTTTCCTTTGTTAAGACTAAAAATTAAAAAAAGGAGAGTAGGCAGCAATGAATTATTCTTCAATATAAAAAATGTCCTAATTTCCATACTGGCTTTAGTTATCTATTAAATAAAAGTCCACAGGAGACATGCAGATAAATTTCTAAAATTACTACACTCAAAAGTCTTTAATCCGGACTCGTTGGGACTTCCGGATTCCGGATTACAGATCATCAATTTAAATCTGGTAAGATGGCATGCAGAAAACATAACATTAAAAATATGAAAAGATAATTTATGAAATAAAGAGCAATTATGATCTAAAGGGTATCAAAATATACAAAAAAATTAATATTTATTTGTTTACTTTATTAAACATTTCAACGCACGCATGCGTAAAGAATACATTACGCATAGTCGAAATTAGAAAATTGCAATCAGAAAACTATTTGATGTGTATCCGTAATATAATGACGAGAAATTTGATTTAAATCATATCAAAAACGGAGTACATTGAGATGAAATACTACATTTAGTAAGGAATTATAAGCCGAATAAAATAAAAACATCTGCCCTGAATATAAGGATAGTGCTGACAGATCAACTTCCAGTTCATTGCGCGCCGTGATGTTCCTCCCCCCGCAGAGCAGTGTAAAATTGATAAACAGATTTTGGAAAGGTTAGAGAAACAAAGGATATGCCTTTATACATTTTTTGCAGCAATTCCACTTTTTGTTTGATGGACATCAAAACATGCTTTCGCTTTGTAGATCCTTTGGCAGCTCCAGAATCAGAAATTCTTTTTGACATAATCTAAAGTTCAAGCTTACTTTTATAAAATTGCTCTAACAGTCCGCAAAAAATAATAAGCCGGATCCAATTAAAAGATTAAGGAACAACGCAATCTGCAACATTAACTGAATTAGATAATTTTAGCTTAGCTTATACCGTCCGTTATACATTAAACGAGCATGCGCAGAAAGTTTGTAGCTTTGAGGTCCAGATTATAGATCATTCCGGATTATGGACGTCCAGATTAAAGACTTCTGACTGTATTCTTATAATAGAAAAGGGGTGGTCAATGTATGCTGCAGAAAAGCTTCTCGAACAGAAAGGTGATGATAAAGAAAAACTAAGTTATTTTATGAACTTGAGCATACTCTCTATAGCCACACTTGGAAATTTTCATTTTTGGGGGGTTAAAAATCTATTATCACCTGTGCCACTAAAATGAAAGGTAAAGTTCAATAGGAAAATTTTTCACAGATAACAGCAAGTTTAACGAATTAATCAAATGAAAGAAAATCCAGAATGACTAAAAATTTACACACATGCTCAGACATTCATACCCAGAATTTAAAAAAAAATTTTTTTGTCAATAATGAAATTCTGAATTTAGTTTCAGTATTGCATGATAATCAAAACCAACACTTAAATGTCACTAACATATTTAATGAACTTTTGTCATTATGCAGAATGATACTGGCACAGCTATAACACACTGATTTTTACTTGAAAAAAATGCTCAAATTTTTTTAGTATGATTAGTCTTCATACTAAAAAAATGCTGGATACAATAGCTCAACCACTAAAAAAAACTGCTATTGATTGGAAACTTGCCTTTACTAGAAAATCCACGAGCATAGCCTTTATACTTTAATATCATAAATTACATGAAATAAATAAAACTATTAAAAACTAAATTCCATATTTATTCAAATTGGTAGGACCATCTGCTACTACTTTTTTTTATCCTAAAAACAAATAATTATTAAATGATATGCATGGCTGGAAATTTATGAATACAGCAAATGACATACTCTTTAATAAATTCATTTCACATTTTGTTCCAATTGATCGATTTACTAGGAGAAAATTTAAATTATGGACATATCCCATATAATTAGCAGAATTCAGTAGTTAAGGTCAAACATTTCACCAATCTGTTTAAGCCTTGAATTTACCAATAATGATACTATAATTAAGGCCTTTTTACGAAAAGTTAACTTCTATGCAATCAAATAAAGCATGTTAACCTGCAAAACAAGGCACAGAAGTCAACCTTGAAATCTGAAAAATAGCAAGACTTCTTGGAGAAAGTAGAGATGCTTTTACACTGCATGGCAACATTAAAAATATACTGACTTATACAGAAATATTTTAATGCCTTTATTTTTTAAATTGCTTCCAAATGAATTCGTTCTTAATTATATCCAAAAAATTAAAGATTAAAATTTCGATTTAAAAGGTCTACTAGACTTTTCGAAAAATGAAATACTCAGCAGAGAATGCACAGCTTATGTTAATTATAATTCTGAAGAGAAATTCTTGCAATTAGAAAAGCCACTACCTTTTCAAATTGAAACCTTTTCCCGACTGCGATATTTTAAGTTTAGAAATGAAAAGGCAGATGTTATTTATGTCTGGATAAAAGGTACAGAGTTAAAAACTGAAAGCAGAAAGTAAAATTAGCTTCTATAATTAACAAACATTCGAAAGTGAATTGTTGGGCATTAAAATAACACAAACAAGAACTAATTATCATACTTATTCAAAAAAAGTACAAAGAGCAAATTCTATATAGACTAAATAAAAATAATATTCACAGGAAAAGTGCACAGCAAAAATGGATGAGAAAAATACACATGTATGAATAAATTTTCAAACTGATACATATTCAAAAGAACTGCATGATGAACAGCAACAACGAACTAGCTACACACAGAAATGGCATTTTTCTTGAATCATTAAATTTGGCACATAATCAGATAAAATAAAAATTTTCACACGTAAAAAGCAGACTTTTATCCTAGAATATAATAAAAAATTCAGTAATTAAGATCAGAAAATCTTTTACCAATCTGTTAGGCCAAGAACTTACCCGCATTAGTTTTAATGAATATTCTCAACAAATCGCATCTCAATCTGTCAAATAAACTGTGTTAATATGCAAAACAAGATATTAAATAATACAAACAAGAATTGACATATTTATTCAAAAGAGGCATAAAGAAGAACAATTTTTATGCAAACTAAGTAAAAACGGCACATTTACTTGAAATTTTCTCAAAAATTTACCAGCAAAAACTTGATGAATCTCTACATGAGCTAAAGAAAATACCGCATTCAACTTGAAATGAGTTCAGTCAGAAATTTACCAGCACAATAAAAAGAGACATGGAGGGAAAAAAAAGAAAAAAAACAAGAATTAATTTTTATATCTACTCCCCCCCAAAAAAAAAAAAAAAAAAATGCAGAATGAGCAGCAGCAACACAAAACAAAGTAGACAATTAAAAATAGTAATTTTAATGAATCGATCATTAATAATGAAATTCTGGGCATATACCACATAATCAGAGATAAAGTACAAATTTTCATACATAAACAGCAGATTTTATCCTACAATATGATTCAGTAATTAAGAGCAGGTAATATTTTACCAATTTGCTAGGCCAAGATCTTACCATCATTGGTTCTAATGCATTTTTCAACAAACAGCATTACACATCTGTCAAATAAACTGCATTAATCTGCAAAACAACACATTAAAATAATACAACTAATTAACATATTGGCTCAAAAAAGGCATAACGAAGAGCAACTTCTACACAAATTCAGTAAAAATGGCACATTTACTTGAAATATCCTCAATCAAAAGTTTACTAGTAAAGCTTTTACATGTGTTAGAATTTTCGTGGTTACTTAAAAAAAATGGAAACAGTAATCTCTACACGACCTAAATGAAAATGGCGCATTTATCTAAAAACACGGTAATCGGCCAGAAATCTACCAGCACATAAAACAGAAAATGAGCATGAAAAAATATACGCATGCAAAAATTACTTTTCATATTTAATAATAAATATAAGATATAAAGCAAACACTTACCAGAGAAATAGAAACCTTGGGTTATTTGACGAATAACCTGAAATTTGCCATTGCGCACATCTAAAAACAAACAACTTCAAATTAATCAAGCAAAATGTGTAAATTTGGAAAACAAGGTATTAAAAATTTACGATAGAATTTTAGCATACTTACGGATCAAAAACAGACCACTCTTCAACCACAGTTCCAGAAATAAGAATGAGCCGAATGACGCCAAATTACTTGGCGAGAAAGTTATTAGTAGATCTTCATGCAACCCAGAGAATCTCGTAACTCCTCCCATTTTTTCTTTTTTTTGTAAAGAACAAAACTTTTGTTCAACGGTTTTGGGTTTTTCGAACTAGTAAATGTGGGGATTAAATAAAAGTACTCAATCGTCTGTGAAAAACTATTTCTTTTTCGTTTTGTTTGCTTAATAATTTTCTTTTATACATCGTTTTAGAAGCTTTGTTATAGTATTTGAATAGAACATGTGGCGCAACGATTAGATAATTCTTCAAATGATATAAATTTATATGCATTCTGAGTTATAATTTGAACGAAATGTAATACGCTGTTAAGTAAACCTAGCGCCAGACTGTCGCTATGGTAAACAAAAGTGAATTTTAAAGAATGCATTTGTTCTATTGTGGTTTATGCGCTGTCGGCGAAGTTTAGGTTAATTTAATCTAATAAGTAAATGAAAGGCAAGAAAAAATGCGTATAATTTAATATTCCATACAAGGAAGTCATGTGGTGTACACATCAGATTTTTTTTTTTTTTTTTTTTTTTTTTTTTTCAATATACAAAGGCAGTCATTATATTTGTAATTATTTTGAAGAGAAAAAAAGTAAGTTATTATATACGTAAAATATTTATTAGATTTGTTCCACTCTTTTTACTTCCTTGTACGAAGTAAAAAGGAAGTATTGTAATCGCGAAAAGTTTCAGGGAGGCAGCATATTTCAACGAAAATATCCATTTTGACCGCTATCGAATCGAATGCAATTTAACGATGTTTTTGCGTGTTTCGTGATATCTGTAGGTAAGGACAGAATAAATAAAATACTCTTTTCCTCCAAAAAAATTATAAAATGCTTTAAAAATTAATTCTGAAGAGAATTTTTCGTGGCATCTGTACGTATCTCGCATAATTCAAAAACGAGTAGCCTCAGAAAGTTGAAATTTTGTATATAGGACTGCTATAACATGTAGATGTGCTTCTCGTATTTTGGTTGCAATCGGCCGCACCAAACGTATATAAATATATTTATATATATATCCACTTTATTACCCAGCTCAGTGATCTCAGTTTCTTTACTCTTATATGTTTGTAAATTGTACATTTTTTGCTTTAAAAATGATTGAATTATGTTGTTTTCATCTTCCGGTTAAATTTTTATGCCTTTAGTAAATCTGTATGCAATATTTTTAAAATTATCAACAATTTTAAAGTTGTCTAAGTGCCGCTAAGCCTTTTTTTTTATGGCGGCCATTGATGTTTACATTTGAAACAGGAGACTAGTGGATTTGTTGCCAATCTAGAGAAGCTTAGCTTCGCAACAACAAAGATAACGCATTCATTTATTATTGCCAATTAGATCATGCTTAATTCTTTCTGGAATTTTTTCGAGGAAATAAGTGTTTAAGATTTACTTCGTAATTTTTAATATAGATATTTTGAGTTTTTATTTTTTGCCTTCTCGCGAAATGAGAACTGAATTAATTAAATGAGAAATACTCAATCGTCTGTGAAAAACTGTTTATTTTTTGTTTTGTTTGCTTATTTCTTTTAGCTTTATTGTAGTATTTGAATAGAACATGTGGCAACGATTAGATAATTCTATTCTTTAAATGATATAAATTTTGTGCATTATGAGTTATAATATGAACGAAATATATAAGTTAACTCTTTATATAATTATTAATACTGTTAAGTGAATCTAGCGCCAGAGTGTTGCTATGATAAACAAATACTAGAGTGAATTTTAAAGAATGCATTTATTCTATTGTGGTTTGTGCGCTGTCGGCAAAGTAGATTTAATTCAATCCAATAAGTTTAAATGAAATGCAAGAAAAAATGCGTATAATTTAATATTCCGTAAAAGGAAGTCATGTGGTGTACACATCAGATTTTTTAAGTACAGTATTACTTATGGTAATTAAAGAGGAATTAATTTACTTATGGTAATTTCAGTGGATACCATCCCATGTGGATCTTTATGGCAACAAAATGGCATGCAAACTAGCCTTTTAACTGCCTCCTCTTCTGAGGACCGTTCATAGCAGTGGTGCAGTGGCTAAAAGCACACGGGTGGCGAAAATAAGGGGCGGCAGGACTCTTACGATACCATGACCAAATATTTTAAATTCATTAATTTCATTGTAAGTACTTATTGAATATGAAATAAAAATGTTATTAATCATTGAGCTTTTTTTTTTTTATTTGGAGGCAGCAATCCTAGGAAAATATGCAGGCAGCCAAAGGCCTAGGAACGGCCCTGCCTCTTCCACCCTTCCTTATCTGGAATTGTATTCTCTGAAAATATCACAAATCATGGTGCAGTTAGTGCCCCTTCCCACCCATCTCTGGTACCTGGGCAGCAAGCCTGGCTGAACTCTAACCTTTGTGTGTGACAGGACTTCCCGAACTGCACTCTAAAGTATTGCCAGCAGTCATATTATGAAAATTTTTGCTGCATGCACCAAGTGCCGGGTCTTTTTGACATTATCTAAAAAAAAAAGACAGTTCTATATCTCCTGTCCTACTGAGCTGATTGACGAAATGTAACTTGCGTTTTTCATGTCTCGAAAGCGCGACTTAGGATATAGATTTAGGTTTATACATTAGCAATGTTCTAATATACTAGGTTCTTATTCAGTAGTGTTTAAATATAGGTATTTTGACACAAAATCGGACTTTTTCTGAAATGATATGGCAATTTTTTTTCCATGTTTCGATTCTACGACTCAAATTATACTAAACTGCCAAGTTTTGTAAAAATCGCACGTGTAATTTTTAAAAAAATAGCTCTCAAAATGTTAACTCCTCCTTGTTAATTGAATTTGATATACATATATTTATTAATATCCCTTTTTTTATTAAACTTATTTGATTCTTCGTTTCACATTTCAAAATTTAGGTTCATTCCAAAAATAATTCACCCATTTTTTGTGATTTAATTTAATTTGTATTTTTTAATTCTCGAAAATATTTTTGTATTATAGCCGATAAAATTTTTAACCTCATCTCTATGATGTGGTTAAAAATTTTAAAAGTAGATGTATTTCTAGGTTCATCTGCAAAAAATTAGAGTTTCTTATTCAAAATTTCTGAAGATATACGTGATTTTATATATTGGCGCGTTTAGAAATTTGGCATATGTGATGAAAGCGATAATAACATAAAATATGGTTTAGGCACTTCGTTAAAATGATTTGAAAGTAAGAACGAAGTGACTATTTTTCCATAATGTAAAAAGGGAAAGGAAATTAGGCTGCCATGTATTAAGAAGTTCGCCAAGTGAATTATTCTTGGCGAAAACTGAAAAAAATTGCGCCAAGATAAATTTTTGAATTTCTCCGTAAATTTCACACCAGATTTTACAAACTTTAAGGCATAATTTGCGTCTTAGAATCGAAATATGGAAAAAAAATTAGTATGTCATTCTAACCTCCTTGGAACTGTCCCCGTCTTTTTTTCTTGCACAGTGTGCCTAATTGCGAAAATGCAACAATTGTATTCGAATTAATTTTTGTCATTTTTACAAATTATTGGAAATTTTATTTTTCTTTGTTTTATTTTATAAATTAACATTATGTTACAATTTTAAACAAAACTGCATGACCCTATTTTTAAATAATAGGAGAAAAGAAACATGTTATCTCAAATGCATTCTATTCTACGTCTGTTTTACATGTGACACAGCAAATTCCAGGCAGTTTTCTCCTTTGGAGCATGTCTTTCATGTTGGTAATAATGCAGTGCCTTCTCAATTCTGACAGTGTTGAGGAAAGTGAAGGGGCATAAATATTGTCCTTGATGAAACCCCACAGAAAGAGTCCACATACTGTGGGACACAGTAAGCAAAGTGACTATTTGCAGAAGCTATCTGTGGGCCCCAAAGCCGGTTAATCCATAAAATAGGCATCACTGATGTAATCCCAAACTTCCTGATGTCAATTTTGTGGAGGCCGTGTTGTTAGAAAATAAAACCATGTTCCCATCTATGAGTTATAGCCAGTTTTCCAGAATATTCAGGTATACTGCGAAAAAAAAAGGACAGTTCTATGTCTCCAGTTCTACTGGGCCGATTGACGAAATTCAAATTGCGTTATTCATGTCTCGAAAAAGCGACTTAGCTTATGTACGCTCGAGTTTACATATAGCATTGTGTCTAGTATAGGTATTTTGACGTTTTCTGAAATGACATGCCAATTGTGTTCAATCTTTGATTCTATGACTCAAATTATGCCAAGTTTTGTAAAAATCGCACAAGTACTTTTTGAAAAATTAACTGCCCAAAATTTAGCTCCTCAATGTTAACTGAATTTGATATATATTGTTGCATGCGTACGGGTTCGTAATAGACTGAATGTGTCGCGCCACTATCGAACTCCATGAGAGGTAAGTTTCTCTGTTACGGAATGGCAACGAGAGAGATTGTTGTTCTAAAGATGGATGATTGAACTGCGTTGTAACGATCATTTTTGAGGATGTTGCGTACTGTAAAATGAACTTATTACACTGTGCTAAATAGTATTAAAATGCTATATATTAAAAGATCTTTCATCTGATCTAAATTTTAACAAACCGCTCATTATTTTCTCTTAAACTCACAATGTTCACGACATTTCTGGCGCCCCCGGGTGGGCGTGTTTGTTGTTGTTGGAAACATGTTGGATGAAAGAATAGATAGGGTAAGTTGATTACCTTATACTTCCGTTTTGAAGTTATTGATTATTGTTTTGTTTACTGAAGTTTAAAATACTTTTCTTGCCTAATTTTTATCTGAATATTTTAAACTTTTA